TTGCCGTATAAATTTAGCAACATTATCCCCACTGATTGAACGCAGTGCAATTATTATCGGTTTTCTTGTTACAACTAATAATCAGGTTTTTGACTTCAATTGATCTGTCAGAATTTTCCTGCTTTGATTTCTGCCTCTGTGATACGGAATGATTGCTTATAAGCAAACAAATGACGCACTCCTTGAAATTCTGTCAGGGGTAATAAGTGAGTCAAAACGAATTCGCTCTTCAGCTGTCATTGCCTGCTTTCCCCCTTTTATCTCTTCCAGCTTCTGACAGCAGCTTCTCTCCCTGGCTGAGTGCTTCTGGAGTACTGATTCTCCTGTTAGGAGGGGGTGGGGGAAGAGGCAGCTGGTGAGATGAAGGACCGAGTGAGAAAGGCTCCTCAGGTACTAGTGTAGAGTGATTCTGGAGCTTTGTTCTAGAATGATCTGATTTGGAGGTGGAGGTGGGAATGGTGGTTGCGCTCTTTCCTACCATGAGGTCCTTTTTTCTCCATTGCCACTGGAAGCTCGGAGAACGAGGATCACTCGGGGTAGCAGCATCCGCAGCCCCCAAGTCTTTACACCCGTGGAGCTCTCCATCCGAGTTGCTCTGGAACAGCTGATTCTGGGACGCTGAGGCTTGGACAGGAAGCTCTGCGTGCTCTAGCCCTGGCTTAAAATCTTTGAAACACGCATCGCTGCGATTCCTGTGAGTTGCCAAAGCTGATGGAGTCCTATGACTAGGGATGTTGTGAGTTCATTTTCCAAGGGTGCCCCTTGAAAGAATGGTACTCCATGCACATGCTACTGAAAGAGCAAGTGAGGGAGATGGGGCTGAATAATGTCTCTGCTTAGCCTGGCCCCTAAAAATGGGTTCTTACAATGAATCTAGGTGTTTGCTTGTGACTTCTTTAAAAAGTTGAGAGCTGGGGAGAAAGGAGGGGAGGGGAAACTCCGGATAATTAATGACTCTTATTGGATGGGTCCTGATTAATGAGCTTGAGCCACAGAATGATTTATTTTCTCTGTCCCTTCCTGTTTGAATCAATAAAGAGCTGTGAAATCCTGGTTTGAGGATTTGCTGAGGACTTACATTATTTATCTCCAATGTAATTGGTTTCCCGGAGATTTGCCCTCTTTCTCTGTGTTCAGCTCAACTTGGCAACCACATACGGCCCCCTGCTGTGTGCCCCGCACCTAGGGAGGCACTGCTGAGCAGCAAAGATGGGTGGGACATGCATGGTCTCTGCCCACATCTGGTGGTGAAGGTGGGAAGATGGCACCGACGTACATGTTATCTACAGTCTCTGCATCGTGTGTAGCTCAGGATGCAGTCGGGAAATCCAGAGTGACCTCCTGGAGGGACTGACCTAGAAATTGAGCCTTGCCAGGTGACCCTGGTGGAGGTACTCAGGCAGATAGGATGGCGTGAATTCAGAGATGGGGAATTGTGGGGTCAAGTTTTCCTGAAGGTGATGGTAATCATGACCACTGAGCACTTGGTATGGTGGGCGTGGTCTCTCATTCGGTCCCTGTAACACTGGCAAATCTTTTCTGTAAAGAGCTGGATGGTAAATATTTAAAGCTTTACGGGCCAAAAGTTCTCTGTCACAGCTGCTCAACTGTGCCACTGTGGCATGAAAGCATCCAAAGATGACAAGTGAGTGTGGCTGTGTTCCAAATAGAGCTTTGTTTACAAAAAAACAGATGGTCAGCTGGGTTTGGCCTGGGTCACGGTTTGCCAGCTGTTTTACAATACCTTAGGTATAATCCCCATTTTATGGAGGGTAAAACTGAGATACAGAAAGGTTAATGGAAATTCATTTGCCTGGGGCTGAGGGCCAGCTGTACTTGGTCATTTCCAAAGCCTATCCTCTTAACTTCCACATACACCGCCTCCCCCGCAAGGGTTGAGCGTGGTCTGGGATAGAGTGGGTGGATCAGACTGCCTTGAATAGCAGTGTGAAAAGCCAGACTTGAATTCAGTGGGAAGTAGGGAGCTGTTGATGAGTTGTTTGTTTTTTTTGAGTAGGAGCACAACTTCCTAGAGCTGTGCTCTGGGAAGACAAAGTTGTAGTGGTGTGTGGTAGGCTAAGGTGAAAGAAAGGCTCTTCTTTTACATAGTTTTTGGGTAGAGAAGCTCACTTCTTCGGCAGAGCCATTTCTGACCACTGTAGAAGTTCTCCTTGGTATACCAGATACCCACATGGCCCCACCATGGCTCCAAGGTGAGTGAGTGAGTGTGTGTGTGTGTGTGTGTGTGTGTGTGTGTGTGTGTGTGTGTGTACACACATATACTTGTTGAAAGAAGTTTGCTTAACCTTGATTTCTTGCTGGATTGTGTGGACACGCAGAAGACTGGTTTTGGAGAGTAGATCTATTTTAAAGTACCTTTAACTTCCAGGAAGAGAATGAGCAAGAGGTACCAGCATCACCTCCCACTCAGCAGTATCCTTGTCCATGACCCCTTCTCCCCTCAGCTGATGACCTTGGGGGTGGATGGCTTTAAGCTTTGGAATGTTTCCACAGTCCTTCAGACGTAGCTTGTGGGATCCCTGTAGTGCTTGGGTGCATCTCCTAGCTGGGGAAGGGAGCTTGGCTCTAGGAACCAGCCTGGTCAATCTCTGACCTCCTTTTCTTTCAGTCCGTCATAGTTTGTGATTCCAGATGGTGGATGGTTCACTCCTGAAATTCTACCTTGTGAGGGAGAAGGAGAAGGAGTCCCTGAGTCGTCTGTGTCCTGGAGGTTCAGGGGAGAGGCTGGGCTGATTTTGTTCTGGCCCATTTCATAATGCTGGTAGCCACATTTCTAAATACTTTATTTACTGAACACTTAGCATGTGGCAGATGCTATGCCCTTTAGATGTAAAAGTCTTCCTAACTGCTTTCTGAAGTAGCCTTTCTTATGCCCATCTTACAGCTGAGTAAACTGAAGCTCAGACAAGTTGAGTAACTTGCCCCGGGGCATTCAGACAGCAAGGGATAGAACTAGGCTTTGGGTTTTTGTTTATTTATTGTTCAATTCTTTCAGCCGGAACATAACTGAATAGGGGAATGAGCCTAGAGTCCGTAGGAGGGTGTCATGGAGGAGGTAAAAGCTAGGAATAACATTTGTATTTGTATTCAGAGAAGGAGCATTGTTGAATGTCTAAGGGATTACAGAGCCAGTCAGCCTGGGTTCAAATCCTGGCTCTGCCACTTGTTACCTCGGACAAGTTAGTTTACCTCTCTACGTTTCACATTTCTCTGGAAAAAAAAAATAGACCTAACAATGGTATCCACCTCCTAGAATAAGTATTAAATGAATTAATATGTGCAAAGTGTTTATACTGGTGCCTGGTATATAGTAGGCACTATAGGTCATTTATTAAGCTCCTACTGTGCATAAATCCCCTTTTTTTTTTTTAAAAAATGTTTTAACACTCAGTCCTCATAATAACTGACAAGTAGATGGTGTTGATCCCATTTCATGGCTAAGAAAAACTAGCTTCAGTGAGTTTAAAGAGCTTGCCTGAGGTCCTTCATCCATTCTTCACAGACACATATTGACAACTATGTGCTTAATGCTGTAACCACCTTGGACACATCACTGGACAAAAGCGATCCAAATCCCTACCCCATGGAACCTCCAGAACTGGGACTTGAACCCGGGGCTGCCTCTTTCCCTTCTCCTGTTTTTTCTCTCCCTCTTAACAATCTAATAATCCTTGGCATTTAGGACTGGCCGTAAAATGACCAAGATGGCTCCCCATGTCCTTCGCTTTCTCGGTGATCACAGAATCGAAAATGATCTTGCTTTATTAGGCTTTTGATCTCTGACAACTTGAGAATCCTAGGGCAGGAAAGTAACATGGATTTAAGGACTAGATGCCTTGGACCGAGGTGTGACACAGAATCATCCTGCGGCGTACCTCTTCAGCTCGTGGGTCTCTGCAGTGGAAGACCCAGCTCTGAGGTTGGGGGTGGGAATAGCCAGGGGGTGTCTGTCCCCTGTTCTCGATGAAGTAGGAAGTGCTTCTCTGCCTTGCCCGTTTGAGAATGAGGCTCCCTAACGGGTCCACTCTGTGATTCCAGGCCCTGGCCTGTTGTCCCATTTTACGAGCCTCAAGGGGCAGTGCCCCATTGCTTGAGATTGCTCTGGGCCCACTGGAAGAATAGAATGGAGGAGAGCCAGGGTGAGGGGAAGGCTCCCCCTGCTCTAGAAGTCACACGCAAGATCCCCGAGCAGGCCTGCTGGAGATACAGTGATCACCTCCATTTGGGTGGAGACGTCATGGGAGTTAGTATGTGAACTTGTTACTAATAGATGGACCAGCAGGGGTACGGTATTCTCTTTTGAGCAGTCATTTGTTCGTATCCCTGTAGGGGAGAAGAAAGGGTGCCGATCTATAGGGCCTGCATGTCCCTCCGTGGACTCACAAATCTGTGGAACCTAGCACTCAAAATTGACGAGGTGTCTAATTTTGTTTTTTGGCCTTTTTTTTTTTTTTTTTTTTTTTTCAGTTAGGGAGAAAGATCTCAGGTGAGTTTTCTTGTGCTGTTCTGCAAGAAAAGATTCTCTTGTAGTGACAGTTCTGTGACAGGAGCAGGTCTGTATGTCCCCGAAGGGGGGGTCTGCTTTCCTGATCCCATGGGTGACCTAGCCTCTGCCTTTCAGGATGCTGTGTGCACCAGTGCTGTGTTTAAATATGTCAGAATTTGCTGGGTTTTTAAAATTCTTATTAGTCACAGAATCCCAACAGTGAAAATGATGCTGGGCTTTTAAATGAAACCGATTACATTCGAGGCGATCGTGAGGCCGTAAATAACGCCACTCACACACGAGTAATTGAGGGGCTCTGTGTTTGTGTACTTGGCTTCTTTACAAGGGACCCAGGCTCCTGAGAGCTCCGCTAACTCAATAGCGCTCCTTACCCTGAAATGGCCCATTAAAAGATGCCTGTTGGGTGGTAACCTCCCCATACGTTTTCTCAATAAAGAGAAAAAGATGGGCAGGGGCGGGGGGAAGGGGGGTGATGGCGGTGGGGCGGGGGAGGCTTCTCTTGCCTTTAGAGGCACTGCCTCTCAAAGCCGTCTGGAGCAGACTGTTGAGTTCTGTGTCCCCATCCCATTCAGGCCTTTGCATGCTTTGAAGCTTTCTTTAGCTTTTCCCTGCCTCTTGATGGCAGAGCTCTCAATAGGCGAAAGCCCGGCTATGGGTAGCTGAATGGCCCTCAGCACGAGGCTCTGCATGTTAATGGCACCGGCTGGCCCAGGGTAGCGAGCTGGTGGGACCCTGGCTGCTGCGCAGGCCCCAGCAGCTGCCTCTGACACGGGATAGGATCTGAGCGGGTTCCTAAAGTTGCCTCTTTGGTTTTTGTTTTTGTTTTTGCAGATCTACACGGACTGGGCCAATCATTATTTAGCCAAGTCGGGCCACAAACGTCTCATCAAGGACCTCCAGCAAGATGTGACAGACGGCGTCCTCCTGGCTCAGATTATCCAGGTTGTGGGTAAGAGTGGGTTTTACGTCGGGGATTAAGGAGTTACGGTGGAGACCTAGAAGGGGTTGTTGAGCTGGGCAAGGGGCATGGCACACTGAAATCTCAGGAGAATACAGTGTTTCTGCCACGTGGGTTGACCATTCGATTCTGTTTTGTGCTTGGGGGTCGTGGGTGCCAGCTTGCTTTTTCCGATAAGAGGACCCCCTTGATGCCCTGAGAAGGGCTGGAGGGAAGTGCTGGTGGTTTGGGGAGGGCTCTCTGTCCCTTTCTTGCCCCTGATCTGTCTGGCTTTCCATTCCCCCCTCTGATGGTATTTTTTTTTTTAACGGGTTATTTTGGAAATAAATATTTCCAAATATTTGGTAAATACCAAAAACCAAAAAATGCACTACTCGACTGGTTTAGTCCTGCCAACTTTAATTGGGACTGAGAAATCAAAGGATTGAATTTTGCAGAAGGTTGGTTTTGGTTTTAATGCTGGGGGAAGGGAGCTGGGGCCGCATGCTTGGGAGAGAGGGCTCTCCCTGGGAAGGCAGGCACAGGCTGGGCACAGCTCTGCCTCCAGCCTTAAAGACTTAAGGGAAGTGCCCCCTGCATCCCTGCTTGAGAGCTCAGACTCAGGAGGCAGGAGGTCAATTAGATGACATTAGGCTGATTGTTGTCGCTGGCAGCTTCTGTGGCTGCCTCATGCCCAGGGAAAAGGCATAAGGACAGAAACCCCAGCCCCTTGGGCATGTGTTGTGTTGGAAGAGTTGCTTATCGTTCCAGTGTGAGAAAAGTGGCCTTTAATAGTTGTAGCCCTGCTCACGTCTGTGGAGATTGTACATAAAACATAGGCAAGCTGGCCTTGGCTGATGACTTTTGGAGAACTGCTGCCACTCAGATACAAGGGTCCCTGATGTCCTAAGATGGGTTTCTTAAGATGAGCTTGAGCCTGGTTCCCCTTCTCTGTCTTCCCCCCCCCTTGTGTTAGCTGCCTCTTGCCATGTAACACAGGGCCACACACTTTGCACGTACGTATCGTCTCGTGGTTTCTGGGGGTCGGAATGCAAGCATGGCTTGGCCGGTGCCTCTGCAAGGCTGCAGTCAAGATGTAGGCCTGGGCTGGGTCCTCACACGGAGGCTCGACTGGGGAGGGGACCAGGTTCACTCCGTGTTGGCAGGATTCACTTCCTTGCAGTTATAGGAGGTAAGTCTTGATTTCTTACTGTTGGCTGGAAGTCTTAGCTCTCAGAAATCCCTCTCGGCTCCTTGCCATGTGCATCTCTTAGTGTGGTTGTTTTTTAATTTAATGTCTGTATATATTTTTGAGACAGCACACACGTGTGAGTGAGCAGGGGAGGAGCAGAGAGACAGGGAGGCAGAGGATCCGAAGTGGTCTCTGAGCTGACAGCAGAGAGCCCGATGTGAGGCTTGCACTCAAAAACCATAAGATCGTGATCCGAGCTGAAGTCGGATGCTTAACCAACTGAGCCACCCAGGTGCCCACCCCCTCCTGCCGCCAGTGTGGTTGCTTTCATTTTTTTCAACGCCAGAAAGGGAGAAAGTTTCTAGAGCAAGTTGGCTAGCAATTTGTCATCTACGATGTAACATGGCTGTGGGAGTGACATCCCATGTCCTTTGCCATATTTTGTTGGTTAAAAGCAAATCGCAGGTCCTGTCCTACTCGATGCGAGGGGACGGTACAAGGGCTCGAAGCTGAGTGGGAGGAGAGTTGGGGGTCCTCTAGAAGTCTGTCCACTACACTTATTCCTTTTCATCTCTTTCTCCTCCCATGCTTTTTCCCCCACAAACTTTTCTGAGAATTGTTGATCCCGAATGTCACTTGTGTTTCAGGTGTACAACAGAGTGACTCAACTCCATTGTTATACTCACCGCAGGTGTAGCTATGATCTGTCCCCATACAATGCAATTGTATTATTATTGACTATATTCCCTATGCTGTGCCTTTTATCTCCATGACTCCTTCATTCTGTAACTGGAGGCCTGTATCTCCCACTCCCTTTCACCCATTTTTGCCTTTTCCACCCCCTCCCCTTCCCTCTTCCTCTGTGGCCATCTTGGACTGGAACCTATTTTTTCTTCCTCGCACTCTTCATCACTCGTGCTAGTCTTTGACATTTCTTTCCATTTCCTCAACATCCCTACAAAGTAGGCGAGATTCACCCCATTTTACAGTTGCAAAAACTGAGGCTCACTGAGTCTCAGCTCAGTATTACCCAACTAGTCTGCAAGGGGATTCTAACCTGGGTTATTTTGCTTCTAAAGCTTCTGTTCCTTGTTCTGCTATATCCTATATCTCCCCTCTCAATCTAGAGACACGGAACCCCGTACAAGAATCTACCTCCCTTCACTTCGCGTTAGTAACTATTTCTGGAGTCCTGACTGTGTGCCAGCGTTGTGCTCCAAGCTAGGAATAAAGAGACCAGTGTGCAAGGCCTGTAACCTTGGAAGAAAGAGCAGCATCTTCTTGGTGAGGTCCTCAGAGAAGAGAGGACTTGCACTTGAGCGGAGTTTTGATCTCCGCATCAACCGTGTCCCATTCGATACGTTAGCAGCACGACTGTGGCTGAATCTGGGGGCTGTGCAGGATTTCTGCCAGGACCTTCTCTGCTTCCAGCCCAGGGAGCAAGAGATAAAGGGGAAAGGGTGAAAGCAAGAGGCCTCACTCTCATCCCAGCTTCCTTGCTTCCAACCATGGGCCCTCAGAGCCCTTTTCCTCCGCTGCCTCTGTTTCTCTGTCTTTAAAATAGGCATGGCCTGATTTTTGTAGCAGTCTTAGGAAGTGCAAGGTAGGTATCGAACATGAAACTTGTTTGGAAACCAGTGTTCCTGGTAACCGCCCTCTAGAAAGGTAGGCGTACGAGGATGACAAGGCTTTGGTATCCGTGTTAGAGTGTGCATGACAGATGCGTTAGGTCTGTCAGGGCTCAGAAGAGGTGAACGGTAGGTAGCACGGGTGTCCAGAATTGACGAAGTATGGTGCTACGGAAATGTCTGCCAGCACAGCTTTTATCCTTGCTCACGGGGAGGCTTCCCTGAATGTATTGAGATGATATGAATTTGCCTAGACAGTGACCTTTCTAGGCCTAAGCCACTGGACCAGTTTCAGGGCCTCTCGTTAGTCCCAGCGGCCGGCTGCATGTGAGGCCCCCGGGTTGCTTTCCCTCGCCCCTCCAGGCGAGGCTTGGTTCTGCCGGGGACTCTATGAGCAAGGCGGGCATTAGCACCTCTGTCTCTGCCCTGGTCTTTACTGGGCTTACACCCTGTGCTCTGTGTGTAGAGGACAGAGACCCAGAAAGTGAGGAGCTGAAAAGGTAGGTACACGTAGGAGTTCTACGTGACTACTCTAGATTGTTTATCAGCCAGTTCAGAGCATTTAATCTTTGAGGGTCTTGTGAATACCTCTCTCTTGGTGCAGGAGGGGAGTAGCGTTTTCTGACCAGGATCCTGAATTATTGACCAATTGTACTCTTTACTTTGAAGTCCATGCCTTCTCCCACACGTGTCCTTTAAAATAAAATGTAAAAAGGTACATACGTATGTGTGTATGTATTTAACATACACATATGTGCGTGTGTATCTCCGTTGGTCTAAGATTTTTCCAGAATTGGAGTCTGTTGTATGCTGGACAGAATTTTGGTGTTGCAGTTCTTTTGGCTGATGAGCCCCCACTCATTCTGGAAAAGTCCCTATCTTCCCTAGCTCCCCCAGGCAGAGCTGGAGGCACTCTCCTCTATCATTCCATTGGTTTCTATGTTGGGCCTGGGTCTGAGTGGTCTTTTTCGGCTCCTGGCATTTAACATGGCGGCCGGCATGCAATGATGGTCAAGAAAAATCAAGAGGACTAGGGATTAGATGTTCACTCATTACAGCTCCTGCTTCTACAAGCCTGGCTGGATTGTGTCCAATGGGTGGCTGGATGTTTTTCCTTGTCAGCAGTTAGTATTCTTCTGAATATGCCTCTAAACTAGATGTCATGCTCTCTTCCTTCCCAGGATTCTGTCGCAGGTCTCAACTCAGAGGTTTGGAAGGGATCTCTAAAAGCCCCAACCTGATACATGGTTTTTTTCTAGAAAGAGCAGTCAACAGACAGTTAAATACTTCCTGTGATGGGCAGCTTACTACTTCCCCAATCAGCCAGTTCTGTTGATGGCGATTTGGAATCCTTCTGAACCTTTTCTTTGACTAGGTCAAAATCCACCCTCCTTGGTGGTATCTCCCTGTAAGTGCTAGTTGTACCCTCTGTGGCTATGAAGAATGACCGTAATCTGAGACCGGAGCCTCAAAATTGAGGACAGTTGTGGATTAGAACTGTGAAATAAAATAGGAATTCCTATATAATAGGGATAGGAATCTGTACTGACAGAAACATCTATCGGGAGAACACCGGACTTCGCTGTACTGGAGAACACTGACTAACAAATACAGAGGAGGTTGCAACCATGATGGTAAAGATTAGTTAAGGCAAGAATCCATGGATGCTGACATCTGGAGGAGAAAGTTTGAGGGGCAAGCTTTTTGCGTGGTCTCAAAGTGTCTCTCCGCTGATGGCTTATTAGTTGTAAGGGGAAGGTATCCACACAGGGGAGTATCCAGATGTCATGACCAGGAGATCAAAATTGTATCATTGGCAAGGGGTAGATGGATGTCCTGTGCTTGCTGATGTGATGCCCTGAGAAGAACATAACATCACTTATGTTGAATTCCAGTCAGGGATGGAAAGCCTGAAACTAATCATGAGGAATCTTAGACAAACTCCAATTGTAGAACTTTCTATTAAAAAAAAAAAGAAAAGGCTTATATTGTTCAAAACTATCACTTCTGTGAAAGCCAAAGGCTGAGAAATTGTTCCAATATAAAGGAGATTTAACAGCTGTGACATCCAAATGTGCTACTAGATCCTGATTAGGGGACTAAAATGCTATAAAGGACCTTTTTAAGGCAGTTGGCACAATTGGAATGTTCTAATTGTACCATGAGATAGTATATATTTGCAAAGAACAAGG